TTTAGTCCTGATGTGGCGCTGTGGGATAATGCACTGAACTGCAAGGTCCTTTTAACCACAAAGTCAGCGTTTCAAACTTACCAGCCGCTTCTCGGAAACCCTATCCAGGGTTGCTATGAGTCGGAACGGACTCGAAAGCCCTTAATAGCAGTAGCATCCACATGTGTCCCTGAGTCCTGCAATGCTAATAGCGTTTAGCCATTGTTGTATTACCAAACTTGTTATCTTGGAAAGAACTAAAGGAAACAGCATGAGAAATTGTAACTCCTTTTATGATTTGTGCCGACACCCCAACAGCAAAGTGGGGAAATAGAAGGAAAAACAGTTCATGGAAAAATGAAATGGCAAACAATTTCATTAAAAAAAAAAAAAAATCTAATCTAGCTAGTAATTAATGAAATAGCTATGAAAACAACAAAGAAAATATAAATGGACAAAGATTTCATAAGCCATGAAAACTGTGTCAGTATCTAAAAATAGGGACATTATTTTGAAAGTATGTACGCTTATACAGTGGATTACTACCCTGGCATTAAAATAATGTTTGCATAAAAATAAAACACAAGAAACATATACTATTTGTTGACATAGGAACAATCATAAAACAATGGAAAAATTTAAAAGCAGGAAAGAAAACTGTATAAATGTCATCACAGACGAAAAGTGCATGCTTATACATAGAAAAAACTACTGGAAAGTTATCTGCCTAACCACGTTAATTTCTCAGTGGTTATTTTTATTGCTCTCTTTATGCTTTTCCACATATTTGAACATTTCTAAATTAGTATGTACTAATAGTAACATTTCTAAAATAGTATGCACTGTTTTGTGGACAAAGTTAGGATTACCAGCTGTATAAACTAGGCAAGTCATACCAATTCAGGACCACGTGTTCATTCATTCAAGAAATATTTATAGAATATCTATGTGGAATCATATACCATGAACTGACTCTAAGGCCCTCCATAGCTAGAGCTTGGCCAAATTGGGAAGCAAAGTTTGAGTATGGTGTTTCTATGGTGACTAAAAGTCACTTTACTTGCTGTTTTTCTGCTTAAATGTTTAGTGACCTTACATTCTCTCCTTTGTCCTCTTCCCCTTATCAAACCCTGTTCTCACAACAGAACTAAAACTTGGTCATATGGAGGGGTAAATGACTGGCAACATTTAAAAGAACTATCTCTCCCGGAGGGCCTTGTCTATGTAGGGACTGAAATCTACAAGAATGAGGCCCTCATGGCTAAATAGGAAGAAAAAGCTTGTGAGTGGGGAAATAGTTGAGAGCTATCAGAACTTTAGGATTCCTAGTGTGGCACTGTGGGATAAAGTACTTAACTTCAAGGTCGATTTAAACCACAAGGTTGGCATTCAAACTCACTAGCCATTCCTTGGAAATCCTATGCAGGGTCACTACGAGTCAGAATTGACTTGATGGCACTTAACAACAACAACAACAACAACATCAGCAGTTTGGGGTCTTGTGATGCTGCAAATGACTAATGCTTTAGTTGCTAACCCAAAGGTTGGAGGGTCAAATCCAACCAGAAGTACCTTAGAAGAAAGGCCTGATGATCTCTTACTGAAAGATCAGCCAGAAAGCCCTATAGAGAATATTTCTACTCTGATACACTTAGGGTCCCCATGAGTCAGAGTTGCCTTGATGGTAAACAGTTCATCAGAACTTTGTTCTTGTGGTCCTCTCCCCTCCCCCTTTCTGATTTGCCTGTAAAATTTCAACTCATTTTCATACAGCAGTTCTTCCTTGTCACACCTTCCACACCATTGCCAGAGTCAGCTCTTCCTCTGTTGCCTGCACTCCAGAGAACCTTATAAATAGCTCTATTACTACAGTGACCCCCTTGCACTGTAGCTTTGTGTTTGTCTGTCTTCTTCCATATTAGGCTGTGAGCCACTTAAACATCTCATTTTCCTTGTATCCACAGTACTGATGACTGTAGGACTCATTGAATTGAATTTCAAGGGCCCCTAAGCAGGCAGTGAACTCTCCGTATGGATGGGGCTATTTCTGGGTCTTTTCACTGAAGTCCCTCAAGGCAGATAAAATATACATGACTGACCACAATTGTCTTTCGATTTTTATCAGAATGGGATAGCCCTTGTTTGATGAATAATGAATGTCTGATCCCTAAACCACTGCTTCTCAGACTAAGGGCAGCAACTCATCACTGGAGAACAAAATCAGTGTAATGCATTGGGCCAGTTCCTTTCTTCCTTTTTTTTATTTTAGTTAAATAGAATAGAACAGAACAGGGTAAGATAGAACAAAAGAAAAAGACTAGTAATATTAAACCCAAGGGCTGTACAAGTAATAGAGATCATTATCATTCCATGAAACTTTTTTTTCCAGTTGAGTTTACGTGTATGTGCTCTCATATACTGGGTCACAGTGGGTTATAATTGAAAAAAAAAAAAAAAAGTGTTCAAAGCCATCGTCCTAAACTATCAGGAGGGAAAGGAGCCCTGAGTCTCCCTGCAGCTGTGAGACCACATTGCTGTGTGGATGTGTACTTCTGGGAACTGCCTCCTCTCTCCACCCCTGCAACACAACCACAGCCCCTGGACCTGGTATAGAACATGTTTCTTAGTGTAGGGTTGGGGACCAGGGGAGTAAAACAAAACAAAACAAAACAAAACTTGTTTTGACCATGAAGAAAACCTTGAGGTTCATACCCACTTTCTCTTTCCACCTGTGGGATTCTTGGAGCCATTTTTGCCCTGAATTCTGAGAAACAGAGCTTGTACCTGACTGGTATCTGAACAAATGCTCTCCCATTGATACTGCTCAGTAAGGGACCTATGTCTCCTGTTGGGTTTGGGCATTTGGGTGAGTAATGTCTACAGGGCAATGTGCCTTAGGTTAAGTAGTTGTTGTTCAAGTTCCCTTGGGTCTGTTCCCACTTATAGCAATTCTGTGTAGGGTTTCCAAGGAGCAGCTGATTGGTTTGAATGGTCGATCTTGTGGTTCAAAGTGCAGTGATCATCCACAGTGCCACATTAGAAGTCCCTAGGGCTGAGGAGCAATATCTAATAAGAACTCTTGCAATCCTCAACAAGGTATCCAGCAGCTCCTTGCATCTTGGCTCCTTGGATCCCACAAGTAGAGCAGTGTAGGGACTAAAACTGCCTTCACCATCACTAGTTATGAGACTTGTGCCTCAGTTTCTCCATCTGTAATATGGGACTGTAAACTGAAACTACTTCATAGAATTATTATAAGGATTAAATCAGTTAATACAAGTACACACAAAGTACTCAGAACAGCCCTGGCACATAATAAACATTCAGCAAATGCTACTATTATTCCGATTTAAACCTTATCATTATTATTTTTCCATATTTTTAGATAAGAGAGAAATTAAGTAACCTGCCCTATGTCATCTGTCTAGTAGAGCAGAGCTCAGACTTAAATCCCCACCTCTGGGCTCCTGAGATTGGTGTTATTTCTCCTAAAGATGGCTCACTCAGCTTTAGGAAACTGTGGGGCACCAGACTATTTCCTGTGCTCAGTTTCCACCTAATCAGTCTGCCGGCCAGGTGCCCACCCAGGAAAGGACCATTGTTTGATAGAAAATGTCTGGAGGGATGAAGAGCCACACGGGGAAGTTCCTTATTGTGATTTTGCTTGGTCGTCAGGAGATATATATATTTAGGGGCTGTGGTTACAAGTCAGGCTGCTAATCTCATGGTCAGCAGTTCGAAACTACCAACCATTCTGTGGGAGAAAGATGAGGCTTTCTGCTCCTGTAAAGATTTACAGCCTCGGAAACCCTATACAAAGTCGCTATGAGTTGGAACTGATTCGACGGTACTTAACAATAACATAGATGAAAGAATATGGAAAATTCAAATGAAAATAAAACGAAATTTTTCCACGAGCCTTTTAGTCTCCTCATACATACACACTCACACATATGCGCATACATATGCAAATGTGTGTGTGTTGCTTCTATTTGCTGTTGAATCTATTCTGACACATGAGGGCCTCACGTGCGCAGAGAAGTACTGCTCGATACAGTTGTCAAAGCTGTCACTTTCTGAAACAGACTGCCAGGCTTCCAAGGTCTGTGGGTGGGTTCAAATCGCCAACCTCTTGGCTAGCAGTCAATCACTGAACCATTTGAGTCACCGAGGACCTGTGTGTGTATAAAATATACACACCAATATTTTCATATAGGAGAGAATCAGAACTGGGAGTCTTCGCACTTACCATGCAAAGGCATTGTGTTTGAGTTCTACGCTTACTGAACAGTGATGAACAGAGTTCTTATGCCTCAAATTAACTTTAAAAAAATAATAATAGAGTTCTAAGCCTCAATCGCAACGAGTTGGCTCTGTGAGTTTTCAGAACCAACATGTCTAGCAGAAACAATAATAAGCTGCCCAGCAACCTCCCGCAGTTACAGAATCTGATCAAGC